ATCTTTTCAAATCTCCTCAATTAAAATAGAAGTTTAAGTTGAATTCGAATCAAAATAATCTGCAAATAAAATAATTACTTCTTCTATCATTTTCAGTAAAGAAGCACATCCTTTTAATCAATTATCAAAATTATTTTGGCTAATATTTGATTAAACAGTACCTTTTTAAGAAAATAAAGGGAAAAAGAATAAATAGCATTTTTAAACAGCATTTTGATCAAATTGCTATACAACAACCATTACAACCATCAATTTCAATTCAGATAAGAATTCGACGAAGATCTGATAAGAATATTATTGTAGTTCTGATATCAAACAAGCAGAATCATTTCGATTACTTTTTAATTTTTTTTATAAGGTAAAAATGGAGTAGCATTTTGATGCAAGAAAAAAATTTTCTTAATATACGTTTAGTAATTTAAATTCTATTTCCCAATTTAAAAAAAAATTATATTAATANNCTAAAAATATGGTACCTGTAAAAAACGGCAACAAATTTTACAAAAATAATTGTATGCTTAGTTTCTTAATTAGCCCTTGTTATATTTCATCTAAAATAATTTAAATAATTCCCTACTTAATCTATCAATATATTTTAATAATTTAGGTGCTGCGTAATCCGTTAAATTCTAAATAATTTATTATTTAGAGATTAAATTTTATTTTTAATTTAATAATAGAATGAAACGGCAAAAATGGATATGAATTGAATAAACATGTTAGTCCCAAAATTACTCTTCCCAATAATTTCCATAAAAACCAAAACAGGAATAGAAACTTTTCCTGGCTATATCTATATGGTTTAAATTAATTGTATTTTAAAGATTGCTTGGTGAATTTTCGAGGTTCATGCATTTTCATAAATTTATGCTTATTCAATTAGTCGGAAAAAAAATTTATTTCAAATGTTGTAAAAAAAGGTCCAAATAACTAGAAATAGTGAATGGAAGTTATTACTGAAATATAAAAAAGAATCGGACGTATTGTCATTTATTACATTGTCTGTACAATTTAAAGCAGTCAAATATCAGCCGAGTAAATCAGTTCGCAAAAGTTTTAATTAAACAAATAAATTTGTATTAATAGCTTATAACAACAATAAGAATTGCAAAGAAAAATTTATGAATTACAATTTTGAGTTTATATTTATTCAGCTGTGTTTATATTTACAGAAGAAAAAGATGATAATAAATAATAACTTCTACAATGAAATTATTATAAGAAGAAGAAAAAATGATAATAAAATTTGCTCATCAAATTTTTATTTCTTGATAAGTCGAGTTTTATTTTAAGTAAATTTTTTTTTGCTTTTTTTTCTGTTTTTTTTTTTTGTAAAAAATTATGTTTATTATTTCGTTTCAATGGCAGTTAATAAATACAATTATTAATGAGAGAAAAATTTTTGAAATACATATTTTTACTGGTGTAGAAAGAAATTTTCGGGTGTATGAAACTAATCTGATAAAACGACCATTTCCATTGAACAATTTAGACAAAAAAAAAAAAAAAAAAACGTCCATCCTCTCTTTTTTTTTCTTCATCTCTCCAATTGACGAGTTGACACATTTTCAGCATCAATTCTTTCTTGCATTTTCCTCTTTTCTTTTTAATTTACATAAAGAAGAATCTCATTATGGTTTTCTCAGAAAAAAATTTTTTAACAAATTTTACAAAATTTCATAACAATTTCATAAATTAAAGATTGAAGAGAGAAGGAAGAAAAAAGGGCAATTTAGACAAACATTGGAAATGACCTTAACATTCACTGTTCTATAAATAATTTGAACTTTTAGTTAATAAAATCGGTAGTCATTAACAGAATACTTTTATTGGTTGACATTTCCGCTGCATCCTAACGAGTTCGTTAATTTGCAGAATAATTTAAATCGAATATGGAAATTTAAAAGAATTAGATCACCAAATGCATTAAAAAAATTAAATTAAATTTATAAATCATCTAAAACCAACAAATTTGCTTATGAAATGAGAATTCTAAAAATTCAGGTTTTGAAGACTTGACAACGTATGACAACTACATTTATGATTGATGAATCATCTGAGACCTGCCAAATTTGCTCCTGAAATGACCAAGTTCACGAAACTCCTGAAAATGCAAGTCTTGAAGAGTTGACAAGAAATGACAACATTCATAGCTGATGCATACTATTTTGAAAATATTTCTTAAATTATAAAATATTTTGAAATTTTAAGCTGCGGAATTTAAACCAGCTTTTACTTATTTTTAAAAATAATGATAAAAGCAGCTCATTTTACAACAAAAGTTATTTTAATTAAGCTTTCGTAATAATTCATTTTGAAATAAGTTCACCAAATATTTGGAGAAAAATTTTTTAATACTATGCCATAAGTAAGTTAAAAATTATACAAAGAAAATTATTAGCAGTCAAAATATTTTGACTGTTAAAAGTTTTCTCATTCATACACAAATTTTTTAAATTTACAAATTATTTGCAATTTTAACGAACGACTGAAAGCAAACAGATGACACATTTTTTTAATGACAGATTCATGGAAGCAACGAAAAGCTGAATAAGGTTTTATTGGGCTTATATATAAAAAATTTCAAAGAAGAATTCATTCAAAAATAATATCATTTAATCAACAAAAAAGAGAATTAAATGTATTATTTTACAGAAAATCAAATATTCATCAAATACAAAAAGAAACAATAAAAAAATATATAAAAGCAAAAAATATTAGCTATTGTTCATTTGGAATGAGATTTCAATTGATCAAATTGAATTAATCCTAATTTAACTTGTATTAATTTGAAAATTTGTCAGTTATCAAATGCATCGATTCCTTCCTTAATTGATTTCACTGGAGTTTAGAATAAATTTCAAACTTAAAAATAACTGCAAAAGTTTCAATTTAAACCAAACGTTACATTTAGTCTATTCCGAATTTTTAAACTCATATTTAAAAATTGAATCCAATAGTTTGCTTTTTGAGATTTGTATTTAAAAAAAAAAAGGGTGATGCAATTAAAACAATTACTTCGGCATGACAAATCTAAATAACTGATTTAAAAATAAAAATTTTGCTGATTTAAATGGGCATGCTGAATAGAATAATGTGAAAAATTATGCTTAATTGATAAATTATAATCAGTTTATTCATACATATCATTTTATTCATTAAATTATAGATACCGGTAAAATTGTAATTGCTTTTTTAATGTACGAAAAGCAATCGAATAGGAAGAAGCCATTCAATTTTTCCGAAAGTTAAAAAAAAACATTTCTCATTTTTTTGCAAAAAAAAAAACTGACTTTTTGCTTTTATCCCGCTTCAGTGCTGAATCATTTGTTGGTGAGAAAATTAAAGCTAACCAAAAAACAAAAATAATAACCGTCAAAAACTGTTAAAAAATGACCAACCGCTCTGTATTACAAATTTGTTTCCATCTATATTTTAATGAAATTCCGCAAACTCTATTAAAAATAAACTTTCGTTTTAAAATTTCTTTAATTATTTCAAACATAAATAAGAAAACGATATGTTGATTGCCATTAAATTAATTAATTGACTGATTTTTTTTATTAATTAAATTGTAAATGCAGATTACTTTCAATAGATAAATACCTGTTCGAAAAAAAAATCTTCGAGAAATATTCATATGCTTATGATAACAAATAGGACATTTCTAAATAATATACAATTTCGATTGCCTGTAGCATTTGATGTTATTTCGTGAAATTATTTGAAATTTTAAAATTTTATAAAATATTTGTAACAGATTAGCTTAAAATATTATGTTATTTTAAACGCGTGCAATAAATGATTTTGGCGTATTCTTTTGATCGAATAGCTGTTCCGTTATTGAAAGTAGACCAATTTAAAATTTTTCAATGAGTTGTGAAATTTCTAATTCAACAAATAGTTTAACGAAATTTCTAAGGTTAAGTTCAATCGTTCATAAAATTTATTTATCAAATTTCAATTTTTGCTACAGTAAAATTACTCATCATATTTTGTATTCACATCTAATTTCCTCACTTTTGCAAAAACTTTTTATTTTAGGAATTTTAATGATTCAAACAATTATCATTTTATTTTTTTGCTATTTCTCCGTTACGGCTGAAGAAGAGAAGCAACTGAAAGGCGTTAGAAATGTTCACATTTACATACCAATTAACGGATCAAAAACGATTAATTTTGGATTTAAAGTTCGCAATGCTGTTGCATTTTTCCCGAAAAATGATAAATTTAATGAACGCTCGATGATGCTCATTCGAAACGGACGTTTAGTTCGAGAAGGGGTAGCATAATTTTTTAATTTGATTTAATTTAATTTAATCAATTATTCAGTCTTTATATGACTTAATATACTATAAAAATTAGTTACTCAAATTTTTAGATAAAATTTTATGAAGGACGTGTGCATTATTCGCGCGGTAAATTTCGTATTCGAGATTTCCAAGAGCGTGATACAACGGTGTTACTTTTTAAAGGACCGAATGATGCACCACAAAAATATTCCATTGAAGTGAAAAAAGATTAATAATATTTGATATTTTACATGTTTGAGTAATTTTATTGTTCAATTTGATTTATGTTCATAAAAATATTTTTATGTTTATAAAACAAGTAAAATGTGTGGCGACTCATACACTTCGTGAATAACTATGTGATATTTTGAAATAATAATTATCTGATATTTGTTTTAAATAATTATGAAATGTCAATTCAAAAATTACAAAAAATGTAACAAAGTCAGTTGTTCAAAACTTTATACACGAAACTTTATTTTAAAAACTTTAGTTTGACTTGTTATTATATAAAATTTTATTTTTACTTAATTTTAAGGAAGAAAAGGAAATTCGATTTACTAACGGCTTCATAAGGAACGCCCCATCGAAAAACATTTGCCAATTACTTAGATGGAGGATTATTATTGGATTTGTCCTACAAATATTTGTAATTATTAAAGATTGATTTATTATAGCATGGAAAACAAAAAAATACACAAATTCATATTACATTCTCAACATATGTTGAATAAGTAAAGTAACACCGGAAACAGTAATACTATTACCAAGTGCATGATACATTTGTTTCGTTGAAATATCGGGTGGTTTTAAGAAGGTTTTAGGGAATCCTAATAAATTAGCCATTTCACGCCAGGAAAAGTAGCGAATTTGACAGTGCATCAAATTTTTACAATTATCAGATAATACGAAATTTCTCAACTGTTCGATGCTCATCTTTTCATCCTGAAATAATAACAATGTGCATTTGTAATATGTAATATATGAAGAAATCATACTAAACAAGAACAGTACACTACAAGTTTTAATGCAATAATTGTATTAATTATATATTTATAGACATTTGCTCTATAAATAAAGCCAAAAAATAACGTACAACGAGATATTGAAATTTGTAACATCACTACGCATAAAACTGCACTGCAAAATCAGTATATCTTTGTAAATCTATAATTGCCAGGTAGAAAGCTATTTAACTTTACATGACAGATATTCATTTTTGTCCACTAATAGTTTATTTTCATGGATTTCTGTTAGAATAGCGAACTGATATTACAAAAAGCATGACATTTCTAAAACTGTTTAAATGTTTTGTGCATAATAATCAATGAAATATTCTCATCAAAAGTTATCAACCATATATTCATTTAAGGTGTTTATAAAAAAATATTTTATATGATTTGATCACTGTAATATTTTTACTTTTACAGCTTTGCTATCAGAATGTTCTAAAATATTTTTTATAAAACACAAAGCTGATATGTTTAGTAATTTTTTAACAGAATGCTGAAAGAATCTCAACAATTATTTTGAGAATTGTGTTGTGAAATTTCAAACTTAGATTGCAAAGAAACAAAAATCTGTCAAATTTTCGTACCTGAATCTTTTTGGAAAACCGCAAAAGAATGGGTCCGGTACCAGCAACATAACGATAATAAGCTTTGGTAAAACAGGATGAATAAAAGTTATATGCTGTTACAAAAGACATGACATTTCCGAAACGTTCAATTATTTCACGTGAAATAATCAAAGAACCATCTTCATTTGCATCATTGCATAAATATTCACCTTCAAGAATTATAAATTATGCATTCCAGTAATTTATAATTATTTAAAAGAAAAGTCGAACATCGATTTGCTCACACTTTCAATATTCAAGTCTTTATGTAAAAAAAATGGACATCAAATTTAATGCAACCAAGAGACAGCTAACTTCAAGCAATCCATCTATGTTAACCATTAGCTAAACTTTTACCAATAATCTTTCGGCGAAAAATTGTCGCATCATCTACTGGCCAGATTCGAATAATTTTGTTAATCGTTGGAACAATGATACAATGATTTGAGAGTTTCGCCAAAAGATAGTATCGAGGCCTTGAATTCGGGATGCCAATTTCGGTTGGTGAAATAATATATTCCTGGAAGCAAATCAAAACCATTCAAAAATGTAGCTTTTTATCACAGAGTTTAAATTATATATCAGTTACGAACCTCGAAACTGTAGCATAAATTCATCAATGTATCTTTGAGCAAATGATGAGCATCAGAAGTTTCAAAGCCACAAACATTTTCCGCAATAATATAACGGGGAGGATGTTTCATAGCCTTTAAAGCATTGCAGATGGTTTTAAGTACAACACAACGATGATCCGCTATATCTTTTCTCAATCCTTTCCTGAAAATAATTTTTCTGAAAATAAGACTTTTATTGATTTTCGTCGATCTCATTTTTACTAATTAAGATGTGTCTTTGTTGTGGAGCTTTTAATTTTAAAATATGTTTGATAGAAAAGTATGCGCAATACACTTCTGAGAATAAAAAGGTCATATTTCCCGGCTATTTATGCTATCAGAACAAGATCAGAATTGAAGGAGTGTTCTGAAATTAAACAAAGATGACGCTAAAGTCTGTTTTGAAATGATAACATTACTTTTTATGCTGGAATTTCAGATAACATAGTATTAGGAAGATATCAAAATTATCTTTTGTATTATTTAATCAACTATTGCAATTAATGAATATCCGTGAACTTCATTTGATTTGATTCCACTTAGTTGCAACAATTAAAATAACGCATGAAAAAAAATTTGGAAAAGAAGTAAATTTTCCACATGCTTAGACAATTATGCAAAGCTGACAAATGAAATGAAACATGCTTTGTGAATGGTTGACAAGGTGGTGACATTGTCCATATATCAGCATTGTAATCGTCGTAATAATCAGTCGTAAGTTTCTGTAAAATAATGAAAAGTACTCCTAATATCACATGCGTTTCACCACAACGAAAATTGAAAAGGACTTTAATTCAGTGTTATAATAATCAAAATAACATGTTGTAATACAATTAATTCGCAAAAAGGATACAAAAATTTTATGAAGAAGCTTTAACCTTGTAGGAGAGATTTCATTATTTCAATAAAATTTTAATGATTGACAATGCCAATATTAAGCTTTTATATGATAATAAATGATGTAGTGGGTATAGCACTTTAACTAAGAAATTTAATTAGGATATGCTAGCTAAAATACTTCATCCACTGCACTATTTCATTATCGTTTAAATTTTTGAGTATTTCTTGTCAGTAAAATTTTTTTTCTCCTCATTTAACCAGGTTAATACCTTAACTGATTAATTCCTGCAATCTGAATAACTAGTCGTTAATAAGTACTTCGAGCGTGTTTACTTAATGGCGAGTTAAAGCTAGCTGAAAAATTTCTCAAATTATTTGTTATTTTGAAATGATGTTTACTTTGAACTTTACTTCTGCACTGTTTGACATACTATTCAATTCCTCTTCATTTAACCTTTTTATGGATTGTATTTTTCGGAAAACAACAAATTTGACCAACCTGAATGTTACACTGCTGGATTTCAGTATTTGGGAAATTATACTTGTAAATGGCATTTGTAACTGTATTTATATCAAGCGCACGTACGGTTACTTGCAATCCGACTTCTGAAATGTTTCAAATATAATTTTTTTTTGATTGATTAAAAAAGAAACATTAGGGAAATGCTGCACAATATGTTTTATAATCTTCCCTACCGCAAAGCTGTACCATTAACATATTTATTTTGTATAATATCCAGTTGTTTACTTTGTAGAGCATAATGAAAGCCTCCGATCCCAGCAAAAAATTCCAGACATTTCATTGGCTTATCATTTCCATTACTTCCAGAGAAAAATGAACTGTTTCGTTCTTTGTCGATCATTTCAACAAAATTTATGAACCACCTTAAAATTACCTTATTTATGTCTGTGCCTATAAGGCTGAAATCGCGGAGTAATTTTTTATAATATAATTATACCGCATTCGCAAATATAAAAGATATTTTGAAAAGATGACTTGATATATCAAATCATTTAATGTTGGGTAATATATTCACTCAACAATTAAATTATTTGATTAAATATATTAGTCAGTTCGTCAAGATGTTTTTTATCTACCCTTCTTCTTTCGAATTTAGGAAATTTTCATTTGATCCTTGCTGAGTTTGGATCTCCGACGGAAACTTCGGAGATATTTATCAAATGTAAATGCACCATGTTCGATTAGACAAAAAAATGCTCTTAGAAAATTTATCATTTACCATCAATGAAAAACAACTACAACCACTATTACAAGGGATAGCAATAAACACACAGAAAAAAAGCGATAAATTCGATGAAATTTTAAGTGGGGAGCTTAAATTGATTGGAATTCCAAATTGAATTTATAATATAAATAAAAATCACAGCACCATAAGTATCGACGAACTTTTTACAATCGATCCATTTCACAACAATACTCCTACGAAAACAAATATCATTAGCACTAATTATCTACAAATCTACAGCTACTTTAACATAATAAATCACCTCCAAACAGTAGAAAAGAATATTCAATGAATTTATGCAACACTAATACATTATAAATGTATGTTCGATCAATAACAATCTATCACTTCTTTTATGACCTTTTTTTAAAAAAACAAGTACCTGAAAGAACATTATTCATAGCTTTGATAACGATTTAGTAAATTACTAAAAATAAGCGTTGGCTTAAATCGAACTGTGGTTTTTCCACAATCACCAATAAGTAAACCTGAAACAAATAAATTTTACTTAAATCCTAAAGTAAAATTAAAGGAAATATCTTTACAGAATACTTCATTTCTTTTTTAGCTGATATTTAAAGTTACAGAGAAACAATAATATACGAGACAACACAGAGAAAGCTCTTTAGTTAATGACTAACATATTCATTACAAAAATTATAATCGGAGAAACCTAACTGAATGATACATATGAATTCGTATTACTGCATAACGTACGCCAGCAATTCTTTAATAAATGCGAAAGTCAACTATATAAATGCGAGAATTATATTTAAAAAATAAACAAAAAATTGCAATTAAAACAGATTTTATACCGTTGCTTCAGATTTTCAGGATTTAAATTAGATCTCGCAAAAATTGCCATACAATGATTTTTTCAAAACCAGCTTTGATAGCTAAAAATTTTCATTTTTTCTCTTTGATTGCTACCTGCAAAACTATAGCTCAGAAATTTATGCTACTGATCCAAATAGTAGATCAAAAAACATGCCGTTTTCACGGTACCATAAATGTTCCGGATTATTTTTTCGAAACTTTTGAGATGTAAAATTTAGTAAACATCAAAAAGTTATTCTTTATTTATCGTAATTTTGAAATGATGCTCAGAGTTATTGTATTGTTTGCTCAATTAGCATTTGCCAACTTTCTCATTAACCATCAAACACATGGATAAGTTCATAAATCAGAAACCGAATAGAACTTTTTGTATAATATATCCATGAATATGCTGGAAAATGTTAATTCATTAAACATACTTCTAAAGATTTTCAAATTTTAACAATAAAAAGATGCTAATGCCACTTTGAAATTTTGGCATGCTACTTTGAACACAAGTGTACACAGGTATGATTAACAATAAAAAGTATTTCTATGTAAATTCAGCGAATATTAGCCCCAACTTGCTATTAACTAAACAGTCGTTATGATGCCACGATGTTTGCATCCTAAAAGTAACACAGTGAGTTTTCATAGGATACGCCGAACAAAACTATTTAAAAGGACGAGTGTAAAGTTTAAACTCTAAAGCATATTTCTATAAATTTTCGCAGAAACTTTTTAAAAAACATAAAAATATGCATCTGATATTCAGATAATTGACTAAATCAAAATTTATTTTAGAAGACGAACAATAGAGTCCATCAAAAGGGTATGATACAATATGGCGCACGTAAGATCGATGCAGTAGTAATCATAAAAAAATTCTAATATATAATTATCTAGGTTTTAGTTCTTGCGCATCCTGTCAAGGTTTTTGCTTCAGTTGGTGGTGTTATAGCAATCGAGTTTAGCCCGCTGAAAATATATGGGATTTGAAAATATTCCCGTAGTAATTCCCATAGTTCCAAAAATCCAAACTTATTTAAATATGAGAAATACATGTAAATATCAAAAATATCGGCGCTTTTTTCTTCCGTTATCTCCTTCTTCTTCATAAATTCCTATCAAAATTTGAGCAAGCTGTTTTAGAAATCTCATTGCAAGACCAAGTTTTTGATATCTTAGAAAAGCATGACGAATAGCAGCTCATAAATGTTACTTTAAATTTCTGTGAAATTACTCATTATTTTATCAATTTTATAAATAAAAAAATATACTTTTCTTTCTGTTGATCTGGAATTTTCGCCACAACTCCTGTATTTCGTAAAGGTGTAGTTATTTGAGCGGTCCAATTTGTCTGAAATTTATTAAATATAAAAATAACAGTTTGGAAAGTAACCAACAATATTAAGCATATAATTATAATTTTTAAATCTTTTTTAAAAGAAACAAAATATTTTTTTCTTTTAAACAGTAGACTCCTTCACTTAATTTTTAAACTGCACAATAATCTAAAGCGCACCACTCCTAAAACACGCGGATAAACAGTCGGTGCGGTATTTCCATAAGTCAAATTTGACTGCTGCTGTGATGGACTAATGATGGGTGATCGTCGACACTGAATCAGATCATTGATTACTGAAAAATACATCTCAGTTATCAAAGAAATTCTACATGTCTTTAGAGAAGACACTTAAAGAATTTCTCTAACTGTGTTGCACTTAATAACCAGTGAACAATTAGTTATTCAGAATGAAATAATTAATCGACTAAAACATTAACCTAATTTTCTAGGAATCATTATTCGTCATATAAATCTATAGCTTAAAAATCCAAATAGATTTACAAATAGATTATCGGAAATTTTCTATACCCAGTGATTTTGTATCTAACTACTCTAATTTCTTACCTAACTAGTTTTGTATTTAACGTTTCTACCCTCTTTGCAATTCAAGAATTTATCAAGATGTAAAAGTATTCATAAAAAAGACTTTACTGTGTCGTCAAGCGAAGACTCACATGTTTCCTTTTTTTCACATTTGACTCTCCACATCTCTGCATCCTTCTTTGCCTGTTCACATTCCGTTGATAAATTTTCTAGCTGCAAAAATAATTTAAGAAATATATCAGTAAAGTACTAGAATTTGAATTAGATATATATAAAATAATCTTCATAAACAAATTAACAATTTTTCCGCTTCCGTACTGATATAGAAGATGTTTTTAAAAAAATAATAGAAGATGACGAAACCTTTGCCCTAAGCTGTGTATTTGAATCAGTCAGAGCATCAATAGTCTTTTTACGTTCTTCCAAATCCTTTTCTATGTCATTCACTTTTTCGTTCATCATTACACCACCGTCAATAGCAACACGGCGAATTTTTTCCTACAAAAGAAACAAATATTTTTTCTTAATATTTGTACAGGTATTAATAAAATTACATCTAGAGAATTAAGATTTTTACTAAACATGTTTATTGCTGCAGTGTATGTATAGTTTCTCATGATTGATTTTCTTCTATAAATTTTACATCAATTACGATTAAATCTCTTCAATTATTCCTTTACTCTATTCAACAGTAACTATTGTTCTTTTCATGAAAAAAAATATTTCAGTAACAACAGTGCAATTATCTTCATCTAGAACTATGCGATAAAAAAAGCAAACAGTAAACTTTAACTGCCCTAAAAATAATTTTATAAAAAATTATGAACTATAAAAACTTACACTATATAGTTTTTTAATAATCTCAACAGCTTTATTGTGCTCACTTTTCCAACGATCTATCTCTTCATTAACAAACTGTAATTTCTCGCGTAATTCCTTATTCTCTTTGTCAGCATCATCTATTGCGTCTTTCAGATTACGTATCTGCACCATACGGCTATGAGTTTCTTCATCTCTATCATTTAGTTCCTGTTGCAATTCCTCTTTCTTTTGTTCCAAATCATGTAGCTGATTCTCCTGAACCGAAATTATTCACAAAAATGATACTCATATCAAAAAATCATCAACTAGATTTTGTTGAACTATTTACAAAAATATTTTTAAAGTATTAAACTTCAAGCAGCTATGGACAATGCTTAGAGTCCATCTATTTTGTTTTTTTTACTTATGAATAAAGCTCATTTTGTATCGAAAATATGTTCTCCATCCACTCAAACCTGAACCTATGATCTTCCAAAACTAACAACTTTCGTAGACAGAACCAAGAAAAAAAGGAATTCTTAAAATTCATTCCAGCTTCTGTTCTAAAGTTTCTCAAAACTGCGGACCGATAAAATACACCATCATCTATAATAATTTTTCGTATCCAAATCATGTATCAGTTAAGCGAATGAAGCAAACATACGGAAGTGTCGAGTTCCTCCGTTAGGACATGCACTCTATCTTCCAACTGATTAACTTGTTCAATAAGATCATCGATTCGATCACGAAAATCGACTACTTCTTCCTTTAAAGTGCTTACTTCTTGTGTAAGCATCTAAAAATCATACAATATAAGTTGAATTGTGGCATTAGCTGAAGTGACAAATTTGCTGCAGAAAGATGAAATAACAGTAGTGAAGAAATTTTGATAATGAAAATACTAAAAAAAAGTCTACAAATGAAAAACTGATACCTGTCTATCTGCATGAAGTTCTTCGTTCATTTCTTCAAGTTTATGTTTGCAATCGAGAATCTGAAGAATGAAAAAAGACATAATTATTGGATAGAAACTGCGGAAAAAATTGTGCCAGTACCTTGATAAAATCCAGAAATAAAGAAATTTTAATCGAGCACAAATAACTCAAATGTATGATTACAACCCTATATTCTCTCTTTTCTTTTCTGCTTTTTCTCAAACAAGCAAGATTAACTGTGAAGAAACATGCTTAAAAGAATATTTTTTTTTTTGTAAAAAAAATCATTACTTCACTACGCTCTTCTTCCCATTTCTGCAAACAATCTGAATGCATTTTTTCTTTTGCAGTCAGTGAATTTCGTAAACTTCTGTTTTCCTGAAATAGTATTTAGAACTTGATGAAAAATTTCGCCTCTGTTTCACAGCCATAATTTAAAATCAACTAAAGAAAAACAGCAAAACATTTTTCAATTGTTGAACCCTTTGCGCACAATATAGTACTGATCAACAAAGAAACCCACTAAACGCAAAGAAAGAATAAATTTCTTTTTCTTTTCTAGCAGGGATAAAGACAGTTAATGTTCAAAACTGCAGTAATAAAGAGATTAAGCTAGTAAAAAATACAACGATGATAAATACCGCAGATTATGTTTAAGACTCAAAAAAAAAACAAGGGACTTTCAAAACTTTAGCAAAAACGTTTCATGATCTCAAAAAAAATTTTGATGATGTGAAAACGATATTAACAAACCGCTTGTTCTGATGATAACGAATCACGTAAAGTATCCAGCTCTTTTAAATATCCCTGAAAAACGCAAGAAAACAATGTGACGTTGAAGTGTTATAATGACATAAAAACCATAAGAATGTCAATCCAATCAAAATCAATTCAATGCTTACCTTGTATTTTACAATTTTTTCAACAAGATGCGTTATTAAAGCTTTATCAGTTACTCTTTGAAGAGATAAAGAAAGAACTGTAACCCACTTGAAGCCCATTTTTCCGACCAGGTCAAATCTGCAACAAAAAAGACAATAAACTTCATGACATTTGTCAAATATAGTTTTTATTTTCCAGCTTGCAAGTAGAGCTGGATTTTCGTTTCAATTGAAACTTTACGAAAATCTCCTTAGTTGTCAGAAGAACTTTGATCCCATGTTTATGATCTACAAATCATGGGTTTTGAGTGCACTGGTTCAACATTTCCATTATTACAACGATTCTTTAACATCCTGATATAACTCCCACTATCAATTTCGCATCTATAGGAATGAATATCACTTCGCTATGGTCCAGTGCACTCATCCGGCATTCCATCAATCACTTCGCTATGGAAGCATTTTTAGCAATAATATCTTTTCATCGCAAGCAACTTAGCGAACTTAAAGAAAGGACATGCCTGAATAAAGTATTGTCATTATAAAGGCCTCCCCGAAGATGCGATCCACAGCTACTATCCAAGCAAGTAACAAAATCGATTATTTTCTTAGGAAATGCATCGAATTCGGCATCTAATTCTTGCTCTCGTTTTAACAATTCATACTCAGATCGTCGAAGTGACAGTGTATATATGAATAAAGGATCATCATCTCGTGATATGCAAAATATAAATTCCTGAAAAAAGTGTAAACAATGTTTACGAACCCTGATTGAAATTGCCATGGTAATTATATCAATCGCTTTGAAATAAATTTTAAAAAAAAAAACATTCCAACTCAACCAAATCAAATTAAACGATATGACAACATGATCAATAATAAGCATTTGGCTTCTAGATTTTTGGTCCAGAATGATCGTTAACAAAAAATTTTGAAAATTTCTAACCTTTTCTGTTCGATTCTGTCGTTCATCTATTTTCAAATTCAAAATTATGCGGCTGAAAAAAAAAAGAATTGGAAGAAGTATAGAAAAATTACAATTGCTTAAGTGATTGACTTTCAAATATCAAATAGAACGGATAGAATTTCAACTGCCATGAGAATGGCATCACACATATTTTTGTTGAAGTAACAATCTTGCAGGAAATTTAAGCAGATATTTCAATATCTGAGAATTTTTATGCACCTTTCTCTGTAAAGGAAAGTTCACATATTCTCTGCCAATCCAATCAAATCCACCGATGACACTGTACCAAGTTCACAACTTATGAAATATATGCATATTTTCACCTTATTTTTGTTAAGTTTTTAAATGTATCTCCTCTCACCTACATGGTTCACGAAATACATAGAAATTTTAATAGCAAACTAGACACTGTATCTTTACTAATTATATAACAATATACTTCTATATTAAAGGAACGAATGAAACGGATATCAAACCTTTTGCTAGTTGTTTGGCCATTTGTGTCAGTGCAGTAAACAGCGATATTTTCGTGGAATAACGTTTGAACCATTCCAATTTTTCTATAATTTTATTTCATAAAATACAAAATTTCGTACGGAATAAAAGTTGAATTCAGTTATGCGAACACATTATAATAATGATGATATACCAAATTAAAGCGACATTTTGACACTTTAAATGGCTAATAAAGATACAATGCATTGAAATTAGCGATAGTATTTGATATGAGACAATTTTTCATAACTTTATACGTATATGGTAAAAGATATTGTTAAAGACAATTTACTTTTTGTGTTGTTGATCCTGATGTTTCTCGAAGAAATTATAGTAATAATATGAAAGGATGGACATCAAAACAAAAAAAAAATCAATATTAAAAACTTTCTTGAAACATTTTTTAATGATAACTGATATTATCATTACACATGATATTATCATTATACATCAAAATGAAAAAAGCTTAAATCAGAACCAAATTAAAGTAAAGCAGTATTTGCTTAAACCATTTTTATTTTAATTTACGGTAGCCAGACTTTTTGATTTATAGAAATTGGAAAACGTGAGAATAAAAAAAAGTAAACTAGCAAAAGATAATTATACATCATCAATCCCCATATGTCGAAGAACAGTATTTGCCAAAGTTGAATAATCATGTCCAGCAAATGGTTTAAGTTTGAATATCTCGGGAGATCTAATAATTTCTGCTAAATCCTTTAGTCTCGTGCAGAAAATATGATCCAATTCATGTAAGCGTTCGGCAAGTTCCCACTGATGATTATCCATCAACTCTTCATTGACTACTACCACAAATGGTTTCTTACATCGCAGCACTTCAAGACACGTTCCAGCACCAGCATGTCCAATTATCAAATCTGCTGCTATGATATCTTGTAAAATGTCATCTTTGTAATGATAGTAATCGATATTTATACCACAACGGTTAACTTTCTCAAGCTCTACTTTACCTCTGCCAATTTGTATGAGTAAATCAGTGATACCAATTTCATTTAATGATTCCAAACATTTCCGTTCAATTACTACACGTATTAATGCATCGAACTCTGTACTTCCAACTGTAACAAAACAACGCATTTTTAGCCAAAAATTCAAGATCACTAATTTATAATTTCGGTTAATGGAGATTTACTGCTTCATTAAACCCATGTAATAATATGCACTTGGTCGAAGCCAACTATCACGTTTTTCTTGTTTCAAACGCTCCCGAATAACAGCTAGACGAAATTGTAACGCTTCTTCTTCAAATGATTCTTTAATTTCTATGAGCTTCTCTGTTTCTGTTGCTTCAGAAAATACGCGATCGGTGGGATCCTTGTAAACTTCACAACGTGCCGATATCCGACGAACTGCCGAATCTATGTCTCCCCACGTTTTTGTTAAATCATGGGAATCAGACATCAAAAGTACAGCAGCGTATATCGGCTAATTCGTCAACAAAATTTTCTGAAATTCCAACTGTTCTATTAAATAATTTGGAGAAATTGACAGAAATGAAAAAACACATGAATAATTATGTATCTACCATAAATAATAATTTGTCTACCGTAGGGCCAATAAAAGAGAACCAATCAATAGCAAAATAAAAAGTAATAATCTCTGACTACTAGTAAAATACATCAAAGAATAATGAAGATTAAAAATTTTTCTTGTTAGTTTCTTTCAGTCTTGATTAATGTACTTTCTCTGGATGGAAAATTTTAAATTATAGAATAAATTCATGCATATTTTTCTTTTTTTAAATCGTTTGAGAGTAATTTATATACATCAACTCAGAGTAATTTTCTGGTCCTTCAATTTCTAATGCCATTCAATTGTTAAAGAAAAATAGAACTTAAAGACATTTTCTTTCATCTATTCTATACGGTATAAATGAAAACACTGGAATAATATAAGCACATATAAATATTATCAGCTAAATAAAAAATATTATGTTTGATGATTAAAAAATAAAAACGTCGGATTATCATAAATTTTCCGTTACATGCGGAAAAAATGAATAATGTGATCAATAAAATTTAATGAAATAATCAGGCAGTAAATATTATGCCAAATTTGTGTTTTGAAAAAGTGAATGGTTGGATAAGAGGTACAAAATATTCGTATTTATTAAACGTGCATTAGGTCACATATGTGAACTATACACTCAACAGGTATATGCAGAACAAACAGTGTTAAACAAGCTGATTAATTCATTAGATCTCGATTATGATTCCATATCAATAAATAAATCATACTAGCTATACATTTCGTTATATTTGAATAAATACATGAGAGGAAGACGAGAATTTTTACCAAAGCAAATAAATTTGAAATTCGACTGCTAAAATTGGAAAAACAAGCATTCCCATTAATTTACTGACCCAATAAACAATAAAATACGCGGACGATAACCGAAAGCAACACCTCCCACAATAATTTACTCAACAAATAACAATGCAAGGAATAGTGCTGCCATAAATTAGCATATTCCTGTGAGGAAGTGGGAAATTAAAATTTGTTAATTTTTGATGCAAACTGATTTCTTTCAATTGTTTCATTTCTGTACGAATTAAATTTTGCTAATGAAAGGGCGATATAATTATGAAATACCTCTGCTAAATTTATTAACTATGCCTATTCTATACTAAAAAATGATATATTCAATATTGATCAACTTGTGCACGTATATTATGTGAGTTGACGTTTGACAAAATAATCGATAACGATGTGTGACTTTTTTAGCATCGATCTGTATGCTACATGCTAACTTTGCATAATCTGGCAATTTTATGGATTAAAGCAAACTCAATCACGATCAGACCAATTAATATTTGATAATTCTTTGCTTCTGACATTCGCTTATGATCATTAGTTTTGCCCATTCACTGCTTAAAATGCTTTAGATATAACTTAAAAATGTTGAGTAAGGTGTAAAATAATCTCTCTGGATATATTTTTGAACACAAGCAATTTTTTTTTAGGATATGGATCAATCCTTAAAAGTATATTTTAATCAAAAAGCATAAATGGAGCAAAAAACTTTTGAGTATATTTTGCAAAACGACAAAGAAAAATAGCTTTTCGTGGAGAAACAAAATATTTAAAAAGCTAAATATTATTAGAAATTAATTCCGACCAGTAAACAAAGCACATAATCAAATATAAATCACAAAATCACATATGAAATAATAATAGTATTGGATTATTTTTGTTAGAAACAATATTGTGACACAAAAAAGATGGTGAGAAAATGCACAATACTAAATTGCTCTTTCTGAACAGGTGAATTCCTGTTGAAAGGTTGTCGGGATCAGATTAATGCCTCATCACTTTTGTTATAATCTTTCAGATTAACAGGTCTCTTGTACATCATTTTCCCTAAGCGGTTATCTCTCCTCCGATATATTATCTCATATCAAAGAAACAAAATAAGACATTAGGTGGATTTGATTTCGAGAAAGAGAGAAAGAAGAGAAGAGAAGAAATCATGATTGCCATAAATATCATCATTGATTTTTGTTATTGAATTAAATTTTTCCAGAAAAGCAATTTTCAGGTTTTAAATTTCGTTTTTCTTGCTTTTAATTTTTTCGTTCTCATAGTTCTCTTAATAATACTCCAATTTTTTCAATTTTTTGAGATATGATTATCAATCCTTATTGCATGCCATATCTGAAATCATTTTATCAGATTAAGAGTGTTTATCATAAATTGTAATGGACTTTTTTCTTGGAATGATATTGGTGATGGTCTTCCATCCTCCATTGTACCACAATTCGTTATTGTTGCTGCAATTACAGTAGTAATTATATATCCAACCAGAATTAATTGTATAAATCTATTTCTCTTTTAATGAAAAAAGGAATTAAAGAATAAAATTAAAAAGATTAGTTTGAGTGAAATATTAAATTAAAATTTTTTTAAATGAATAATCATCCAACATTAAATAGTCCTAATATGTCAATTCTTCATGACCTGAACATACATTGTTCCACTTGCATTGTCGCTATTAATTGACCATTATTCCAAAATTTCTCAACTATACAATCTGTGAGAACCTTCGCAACCGAAATTGATGCCATGGCTGCTCCTAAAAAAAAAACATTACGGAACAGAGAGGAATAATTGACATTTGGAGTGACTTTAATATATCAAAACTGCAGAGGTGATTTTGCATAATTTCATTGTTAAATCAATTTATAAGTGTGGAACCTCCCGCTTCTCTTGCTGTAAGAGTAATTAATGACCATCAACTCTAGCAGATTTGAATTTTATTTGCATGCAAAGGAAAATAAATATGAGATGCATACCTTGTGCTTGTTGATTAGCAGCTCGTTGACAACAAATGCAGAAGGCGAGATATACTATCAATTTTGTCATATTCAAATTGAATTGTTTTCTAAAGTGAAGATTTAACTTAATTAATATATTCCAAAAATTTAACTATTAAATTGATCCCGATTCAATTCGGAACTTTTTCTTGTTCAATGTTCGAAAGAGAATATTTATGAATGAAAAAAATAATGGATAAATTCTCACGATTTTGATATCATTCTTAATGAATTTGTTTTGTATAGAGTGATCAATTTTGAATGGATTTAATTTGCAATCAGTTATACTGCTGTGTCTTTCATGCAGAATCCGATTTATGAGTTAAAAGAAAGTAGGAAGAATAGGAGGAATGGAAAGGAATGGAAACAAACTCTGATGAGAATCACAGTTAGAAGCTTAATGGAATTTTTTAATACACGGAAAGGAGAAACGAAAAAGTCAATAAGTAATGGGAATTTTAACGAGTTTTATTTTTTACTTCTTATTGATTTTTTTTTCTAACTTTTTAACAAACTGTTAATATGTGTCCGAAAAATGTCCAAAAGGACGTATATCCTCCCCACTTAACTTCAGATGTTTTTTCTTGAATGATTTAGAAACTGTTAATAAATTAACTGCATCATAAACATAAAACCACGAAAAATCATTTAGCAAAATCTGCAGCAATATTCCTACACGGTGTACCGTAAAAATTATTGACAGTTTTGGTCGGTCTGAATGGCAGCAGTAAAATTTTTAAAATATAACAACAAATCTACTTTTTTTGATTTCATTGATTTGCTACAAAACACATAATACGATAGCATTTTTGAATGGACTTTTTAATTTTATATCATTCTTAAGATGACCATTAGAACTCAAAGAATCTACATTTGTTAAATCATTTAAGGCAAAACTTTTGAAGTTGCTCGAGAAAGAGCAATATTTAGCACAAAGAACCTTCTTCATATGATCGAAAAATTATCTTAAAGTAAACATGGAAAAAAGAAATGATGGAACTTTTAATGGTTTAAGATTTAAAAATTGCACTTTTTATATTTTCGTAGCGGATCTCTGAGTGTAATAATCAAATCATTAAACAAAAGCCATTTTTGTTTAATGATTTCATTGTTTTCTATGTTTCCAATGGAAGAGGAACAAATTGTAATGGATAAGTAAAAAAAAGTGCTGTAAATTGTGACGAAAAAAAACCAGTCATTTTATTTTTCCATCAATAACAAATTGCGGGAAAGCAACAATCTTCTCTTTGTTTATTATATACTATTTCCGGCTTGAATGCTCGAAATCAAGCTTTTTTTATCGAATCTCTGAAATTTGGAAATAAATGCTTTTAAATTGAGCAAATTTTAGAATTATGAAGATTTTTTTAGTGCTATTTTTAAGTGCTACTGAGACAGAGTTAATATCTTATTATAGAAAATTGATAAAAATTTTTGTGAAAAAAATTGATGAGTAGGATTTGTAACTTGATATAGATTATGCTCTATGTTAGATTTTTTATTTATTGAAATGGAAATTTGAGGTGAATAATAAGTTGTGATAAAGTGCTTGTTGAATTGAGAGTGGCAAATATCAAGCAGATTTATTTCCACTATCAAAATCTGCAAGTAAAGGAAATTAATTCAGCATTAAAAAAAATAACGTATTCGATAAAAATATAACTGATTACGCTTCTTTTTTGGCCAATAGCCATAAATTGATTTATCAATCTTAGTGCACTCGATTTAATTAATTTTGCGCAATATTTTTCAAGACAATACACTCCCAACCTGCTACTGCTAAAAATTCCAATAACTCCAACCTGCTTACTTAGCAAAGAGCTGTATTTGAAAATTTATAACAAATCAAAGAATGAAAAGCTTACTGTTTCTATTTATTTTGTTATAATGTCCTTTACGGTGATGATATTACTAAAAGTTTTTATCCATACAATATTACATGAGATCCCTTAGCTAGCTTAATGGACAGTTTTAAAAAGTGTCCCAATATATATCGATATATTTTTAAAAATCACCATAAGAATTGTTACGTAGGACTTAGAAGGATCTATGCTACGCTAAATAATCGTCATATAACTGATCACTGCAATGCATCCTTTGGTATGAGGAAAATATTTTCATCTACTTCGTAACAACATAAATATATGTTAAGAATTTTTTTTTTTTGTACTTCTATAATATCCGCCATTTTTGATAAATGCATGTTGCAGAATTTTTATAAACTACATGAGAATACAACGACGCAATTATTTATGCCTTTATTAATTTAATTATGAGAAGCAAAAGAAGAGAAGAGATAAAAAAAATCACAATGGTGATAAAATCCCTTTGGAATAACTTATTTATTCTATGCAACAACGTTTTTCCAACAATATCAACGGTAGTCGTGAACAGCATTGAGAAATAGAAAACAAAGCTGATTTTAAAAAAAGCTTATTATTTAAAACAAAAACTAAATTTTAAATCCATAAATAATATTCATGGAGCGCATCGACCAACGAAGCGTGGATAAAGACACACATCTCGAATGTGATATGTATTCGTTAACCAACAAATAAAACGTTCCAGGCCAAGTCCATAGCCACCATGTGGACATGTGCCATATAAACGTTGATCCAAATACCAGTAGTACGGTTTCGGATCAATTTTCACACTTTCAAAAGCTTTCGAAAGTTCATCAAACTGAAACAACGAAGAAATTATTAAGAAAAAACTGAAGAGACAATTTTGAAAAATTCCTTTTACTGAAAAATGGACACTGAAATTTTGGAGAACATACCTTCCAGATTCTCATACTGCCACCAACAATTTCACCAACACCGGGCATAAGAAGATCAACAGACTCTGTTAATCTACTATCTTGCGCATCCCGCTGCATATAAAATGCCTTAATTTCACTTGGAAAACGGTTGAGTAGAATTGGCTACAATAATTTAAAAGTAGAAATGAAATCGAATCTCTGAATTTTCAAATACTATTCAAAACATGTGCATTCCTATATCGTTTCTCTGTAGTCAACAAAAACAAATAGTTGATTTTATTTTATTAGAATTTTATTAGAATCTGATATCAGGATTCATCTCCTGAAGCTATTTATAAATCCCGGTTCTGAACTTTAGCACTCAATATGACATATCCGAAAATAATCCTTTACCTTATTAATACTATCAGTCATGAAACGTTCCGCTGCCTCAGCGATATCATCACCAAAACTAAAACTGTTACCAAATTCATTGCTAACATTGTGCTCTTGCAACCATTTGATAGCATCTTTGTACTCCATTCTCAAGAATGGCCGTTTAGGCGGTTCGAATTTCTAAAAAGAAAGATATAAAGGGCAATAATGATTCATTAAAAGAGGATGTCGTTAACGTATCAATGAACGATAACTCCTGGTATTATGTTAATAAGGGACAGTTTTGACCATATGTTCCTGTTCCTAGAATTATTATTGGTTTCCGCAGTAAAACTTTGACTTTTAATTACACAAACAAGAATGGAGTGAGCAAATTTGAATGAAAAGTTTGCGAAAAGTAAAAATAAATGCTAAAAATCTAAAAATTTAGAAATATTGATTATAAATTTTAAAAAATCAAAAGACAAAAAAAACTAACAGGATTAATATGTTCCAATAATTTTTTTGCATTCTCGTCAGCCAGAAGTCGATCAACTGTATCGCAAACCAATTCTTCAATTTTCGTCATTAAATCATCCAGCGTTATGAAGGGACACTCAGCTTCAACATGGGCATACTCTGCTAAATGTCGACGAGTACGAGATTTTTCCGCTCTTAAAAAAACACTTTCTTGAGGAATAATAAAACTATCTAGAGAATTAATATCATTCACATATGAAATTGTTTTAATATATATAAATATATAATTTATCAATCAGAAGCAATTATCTATTAATGAATCAAATCTACTATCTCTTTCCTACGGACTTGAAAAATAGTTCAATAGTAGTAAAACAGTTGACTCCAAGTTTTACTTCTATTATCATTAAATTTTAGTCATAACAAAGCATCTTTATTAAGTTCTTAATTACTAGCCAATAACCCTAACACTTTGTTAATCGTACATTTCGGAGTGATGAGTGGGCATCAACTAGATCTGCATTATAATGCGACATATAAAATATGTCGTCATAATTTTATATTTTTTTAAAAGTTTCTGGATGAAAAATAGGAATGATTCATACAAACCTGTATGACTGAGCAATGCAGAAGACATCACCAAGAGTGGGAATGCAAGTTTCAAGATAGAGCTGCGACGACTGTGTAAGATAAGACGGTTCACCAAAATAATTAAGTCCGAATAATGTCGATCCACCTTCTACCTGAAAAAAATTTTAAACCATTTTACCAAGATATATTATTAGAGAAAAAGTTTTCAGTACTTTATCAAGTGCATAACCTGCGTTTGAACTAAAGTCGGTGGAGCAACTTCAACATAGCCAGCATTATAGAAATGTTCTCGCATTGCCCGAGTAGCAGCTGATCTTAAACGTAACAAAGCAGCAGCATTTTCACCTCGAATAACCAAATGTCTATTGTCCAACATTTTGTCGACACCTGCTTCTTCGTTCAGTACATTATCAATACCTGCAATGATTGGATTTTCTTTCCTATTTCTATTAGTAAATAACAAACCGATTAATAATATATGACATAAGTTTACATCAATCTATGATAGAATATATCATTAAATTTCGTATACCTGGCCAAATTTAACGTACCATATGTATTCGAATGGGTCTAGGAACAGCTCTCATAATACCCATCTCTCTCCACAAATACATTCTCTGTTTCCAAAGATTCACAAAAAATCTCTGTTTCATTCTTGAAAGTTTTATGTTCATCTGACAAATAGTTTCTTGGAAAACCTATATCCATGCACGTGTATTTGTGTTTTATTCTAAAAATCTACGAGCTCTCGAAATCGAGTTATGATTCAATAAGATCAAACAAGTAACAAAATAAAGTGAATGAGTGCCTCCAGGAGGTGCGTTTCCAATTACTTTCCAAAAATCGGCTACTAATTCATGCCCATTCGGTGCTTCTTTACCTTCCGGAACTTCCTTTACCGCCCCATAAATTTCAACTGTGCTTTCGGTATTCACAGTGAGAGCGTCATACGTTTGACACTGAAAAAAATAAAATAATACTATTTTGTAAAAAACGGTACCATTTATCATCAATTTATCACCATTGCTTAAAATTATTAAAATCTGCCTATCAAACTTAAAAAGATATTGAAACCCAAAATCTTACGTTATTTAAAAAAATAACTTATCAACGCATTTAAAAAATAGCTTACCAGCTTATCCGTGAGCACTGCTTGAAGAAAACCAGTTCCATCTCGAAGAACAAAAAATATCAACGACTTTCCTAAAAGTATGGAAAGTGTAGAAATCTGAATTACCAAGGAATAAGCATATTTTTTAGAGAAAAAGAAGCAAAAAAACATCTCAACAATCTAAATTCCTAAAAAATCAGCCGACTGTAAACAATTTAAAAAGAAAAGTAAAAATGCGAATTCTGTAGAACAACCAGTTTCGACAACCAAAGAATAATAATTCTAAAATTTTAATTGTGATAATTTCGGCATACCTTGTCGACGAATTCGATGAATCCATCCTTTGATGCAAACACGTTCATCGCGGTGTTTAATAAGGTCACGAATTTTCAGACCTATGAGACATGGCAGACTTGTGTCCAGCTCTATTTGCACTTTTTTCGCTTCTTCAAGGGCTGCTGTTGTTTGCTCTTCAGCTGCATTTTTCTTAAAGATCCAAAAAATTATGAAAAAACAATGCCAATATAACATGACTCCTGACTAAATGTTCATTACATAAAATTATGTATCTTTTAATTCATTTCTCACAAATGAATTAAAGTGACAGACATCTCGCTATTCCTTCTAACAACTAAACTACTACACTCATTTCCCAGAAAACAAATTTCACCTTTGCAGCAATTTTTTCGTTCTTCAACATTTCTTGTTCGTAACGTTTTTGATTTTTCTTCAGTGCCGTTTTTGAAGCAGTTTCCCATATCTTTTTGCCATCTTTCGTCGTTCTAACTAAGAAGTCACCTTTTGGAGACTTGGTAATTATCATTGCTTGAAAAAGCGTTCTGTAATTCATACATTTTACATTTTTTCATTGATTTCCGAATTACTGAAATACTCATTGGAAACAAAAAATTCTAGACTACTCTGCAACTCAATATAGTATTTTTCTCTTGGTTTTACATCCTTTATTTCAAACTTTCAATCTAAAAAAATAGCTAAACGAAAGTACAAAAATTACCTCAAAGGTTTCAGTTCACTGCCGTCATTACCATCATCTCCAGTTTCCGGGCAAATATAAACAGTCATTACACCAACTTATTATTAATCGCTTAAAAAATAAAATTTTTCAAATAAGTAACTATTTAAAAACGATATCCACGCTGCTGTCTATTCGTTCGAAAAGGAACGAAATTATCTGCACTGCTCACTTCCATTTCATATTTCAATAAGCAAATTATAAGCAAATCGCACAATCTCTTTCTCTCTCCCTCTCTGCCCTCATAAAACTTTATACTATTAGCAGTTGAGGACGATTTATTTTGCAACTACCATTGCACACAACATATATATATATATATACTTCTGCCTTCTTCCATAATCAGGTTTATATCATGCTAGCCTGAACCATATCAGGTCCACAGCATGCTACACCTACACCACACCATGCCTACACCATGCCAGTCCCACACATGCCATTCTCAAAGCCTTTATTGTATAATCACGCCAGCATGCAGAAAAGCCTTCCTCAATAGGCCAAACCGATCAAAGTATCACAATGATATCGTCAGCAAAAATAAATTCTATTGGTAGCAAACCAGATGGTATGGTATGCACATTGTAATCCCTGTAATGTTACTGTACTATTGATATTGGAATTAAACATATGAAAGAGAGAGATAACTTCATAGCCATTAAATCGATATTCCTAAAAAAAATTTAAACGTAAGTATAAAGAGCGTAAGAAAGTTGTAAGTTTATGTCAACTTGTATGCAAAAGTTGCACAAACCGACGAATGCTTACCTTTATCATATTCTTCATTTTCTGATCCAATTTTTTTTCCTCCATAATGATGCACCACCAAATTCATTTTACCATATTCGATCAAAAATTTCATCAAAAAAAAGAAAAAAAAATGAAATAACTGATTGAATGATCTTTCACCTCTCTCTCTCTCTCTCTTTCTCTGTTACAGCCACATTTTGCTTGTATTTATATTTGGGTTGACAATTGAAAAAGATGATAACATAGCAAATAATGTTATCAATTCATTTGTGAAATTTATGAAGTAACATTGATGTCATTTATGTTGTTTCCAATCTTTCTTTTGGTGATGTTAGCATTTGAACAACATGTAAAATTATTAGTGCTAATTAAACTTAACCAATTTTATAAGGTGGTATGAATGAGACAATTTTGTAAAGTGGTATGAATGAGATAAATGGTACAGTATATTTTATTGGTACTGAAAAAATACAGTTAAACTAAATTCTTTGATTTTAATCATTAATCATATTTCATTTTTTCAGGTCATCTATCTTACTATATTTTGTGCTGCGCAAGTTTAAATGGTCGAACCTTCGGTGACCTTTTTTTTTTGCTCTAAACATGGTGACATTATCGATACTGTTTCAATTTATAAGCTTACGGGATTTTGCATTGGGCAGTGAGGGAGAGAGGTTTTGCGTCGAACTATGGATCCAGTTCAGAATGTATGTGATTTGTATCAAAGGATAATTAGATTACTATTGATTATATTATCAAAAATAAAGCACAGTTTATATGTTAATTTTAACGATGATTTGAAAAAGGGAAAACATTTGTGATCTATCATATAATGTCTAATTTATTCCTGATTATCAGTATTTAAATGCTGTGAAATTGAAGCACTTATTCATTAATATATTAAATTCATCATATTTATTTGGAGAATTTTTGGAATATAATACGATAATAGATTTGTGTACTTAAATTAATAGCGGAGAATCATAGGATTTATTAAAGCAAATCAAATGCAATTGATATTTTTGTTAAAAAAGATAAAGAGATAGATGTTAAATTTGCAGATTGCTATTATTATCTCATAAAAAAATAATTAGAAAAATGTTATTAGCATTTGTGATACTTGTGATATTATGATATTGTGATATTTCTTATGACATTTGTGATATTATTTTTGTTTTTATGCAAATTATTTCTCATTCTTTTTTCCTCTTTCCTCACATACCTTCAGAACATTTCATCATATTTAGCATTAAATAATATTTTATGACTTTTTATTGAATTGAATTATTTGAATGAAAATATTTTCAAGATATGCTAGGAAAAATGTATGTTAATGTTTATTATATAGCAAAATTAATTCATGTCAAATTTTAGCCATTTACAGCAATTTTAGGTGCATGAGATGAAGTAATTTTGTCCTTATTTCATGACGTTAGTTTTGAATAAGGAAGGCTCATTTAATATATATGCTTAGAAAGGTTAGCTCAATGTGTCAATAATTTTTTCAGTATTTAAAAAAAAAGAGGAATGAATTGAGAAGAAAGAGAGGGGGAGAGAGAGGAAGAGGGAGAGAGTAAAAAACAAAATGATGGAAAGGGATAAATGATAATTATCACTTTCTGAAGCTAACAAAAATGATTTTGGCTATTGAATGGAAAAGTTGCAAGGAAGCTACACTCATTAATTTAACTTTCTTTTTAGCTAAAAGAAGAGCTCAAAAGCTCTTTTATTTTTTCCACCCATAGTTTTCTTCCTTTTTCCCTTTTCCTTTCCCTTTCTTTTTTGCTATCATTTTTCCTTAATTTCATATTTTCATTTTCATCATTTTTGTACTTCCATTCTTTTTTTTCTTCCGTGTGTCTGTCATATAATCCTTAAAAGCTTGACATTTGCCAAAGATCGCATGATTTTTATTTTATATTAATCGATCATAAATTGCTGTCTTGTTCATTTTAAATAATGTTACACTTTTAAAATAATTGCAAAATTCATAAATATTATATATGGTAAAGAATTGCAGGATATTATTTTACTTTATTTTTTTTTTGAAGATCAATTATAACTTGTAATGTTAGATGGATTTTTCTCTTGTCAATTTCAAATAATTGTAAAAATTATGAAGAAAAAGAAGAGGAAGAAGAAGTAATTATGACACACCCATTCTTCCCAATAGCAAAATTCAAGGTATATTTTTTTATTTCCTAAATCGATATCTAAATTCAACTGGTTGCTGTATTCATGCATTTGTTTGTTGAATGACTTCATCAAACGGGTTACTTTGTCTGTCTGCATTGACTTCAGATTTTTCCTTTTTTAACGTAAATAGTAACAAAGATAACAATAGCTGATTTTAGCATTCGATTAATTTGTCAAATTGTTAGCAATAGGCCAATAATTCCACCCCTCAACGTCTTTTTTTAAAGCATTCTGAAAGTGCGACAAATTAGCGAGAGTTTATTCTGTTTTGCAGTTGCACATTGCATGTGTGTGTGTGTGTGTGTGTGTGTGTGTGTGTGT